TGTGTGTATGTGTGTGTATGTGTGTGTGTGTGTGTGTACGCTTATTATATGTTTTGGTTGTGTTTGTTTTACTTGTTTACATCTTATATTTTACTCTTTTTGCAATGTAATGAATTAGGCTAGCATTTAATTAATAACAGTATATTAAATATATGTTTATTACTGCTATTACTATTTCATTATTTCTATTATTATTATTATGAATTATTTTGGATGAAATTTGATATTACTTTCATTGCTTTTTAATGTAGTCAAATCGAAAAATATATATACATATATAATGAATAATACTTATAGGGTTAGATATAATAGCAATAATTATAACAGCCTATGATTACGATGCAAAAAAAAGCATGCGTTATATACGTATATACATGTGATTACGTGTGTATGTGTGTGTGTGTGTGTGTACGTGAAAAAATACACTTGGCCATTAGTTTTAATGTTTTGCTGCGTTTACTTTTATATATTATTTTATATGTTTAATTAGAACATTTACATTACATTAAGTCATATTTGCTCCGTATAAAATATTTGAACAATTCAAAATGATAGCGTTTAAAAAGTTGTAATTATAATTGAATTTGCATTTAAATTTACAAATGAAACAAATTTTTTATTTCACTTCAACAATGCTATCAAAATAACGAAGAATACTTCGTAGCTTATAATTTGTTTTTGTAGATACTGTAGAGATAGTTTGCACTTGATATTGTAGAGAGAGGGAATTTAAATAAAGTAATTTTTATGTTAACGCTTTATTATTATATGAAAATAATGGTATTGTTTTTTTTTGTTAAAATAATTTACCGTTGAGAATAAGGCATTATTATTTTAACGGGTAATTATAAAATGAAACCTTATTTGGGTAATTAATCCAGAAGATATTGGAAATCGTTTTAGAAAAAAAAAAGAAATCGTTTTCTTTGTTGAAAAATTGTTTTACCAAAATGTATGATAATACATATATAATTTGATGGGTTTCTTGTAATGATTTTCGTTGCGAATTGATTATGTTGTTAATGAATTTTGCTGACTAATTATGAAATATAAATAATTTGAATTTGTTGCTTGAATTTTTAGCACAATTTAATACATATTTAAAAGATTACTGCAAAGTAACGTATCTTTTTCATACGTATTTCCAATTTTACTCTTTTTTTTTTAAATGGAAATAAGTCATCAACTCAAATTATCAATTCTAATTCATTTTTTTAATATACCAATGATTCCCAATTATTATTAATCAGTAATAATAATATAGTGAAAAAGGAACATTTTTCTTGCCATATTCAATTCAAATTATGAATCTTTCCTGTTTTTAAGAAAAGGAAAATTGCTTCATTTCTATATGTTATATAAATAAACATCTAAAAAATAAATATAAATAAATTCCTTTTAAATGGTTGCTCGTATAATTCATTTTAATGTAATACAATTTCTATTAAACTATAATCAAATAATCTTCCTCTGTTCTTCTCTATTCGTTCATAACTTTTTCTTTTTCAAATCACGTCCAACATATGTTGGCACGTGATATGTTTTCTTATTTTTATTCATTTATTTTCTGGCTTATTTATTTCATTTATTTTTTATAAACAAAAATTCAAAAGTAAAAAGGATTTTAAATATTTTGAAAATGAAGTTTTTTCATGCTAAATGTATAAATTCATTGAATTGTCAATTTTAAATGTTGAAATTAATGAAATAATTAAAATTATGGCCAAAAAGTTGATCATATTACAAACTTGAGACTATTGAATCAAATGGATAATATGTCAATAAAATATTATAGCAATTATAAATTTATTAGGTCAAATTTTATGTGGAAAATTTCCTTCCGATATTTTAATTTGTTACGATCGTAGAACTGTAATTTGCGTATCGTAAGCATTCAAAAAGATATGATTTTTACCACTACAATAAGCGATCATCTCATCCGTGATAACTACCTAGAAATAGTCAAATTTTTGTCATCAATATGATTAATAAATTTAATTTATCTCAGTACTTGGTATCGTAACAATTTTTATTGTTAGTGTAAAGCAGTTGTATGTGTTATTTTTTGTCGAATTAATGGAAAATTTTTGATAATATTTACTTAAAAATATTATTGGATAATTAATTTATAATAGCGCGGAAATTATGAATTAAAATATTATGAATTCTTTTCAGTTTAATAATTTTGTCTTTTTAATCTATTAGAACAAAGTTTTTCCAATTTATTTTTTATTCAAAATCAAAATGTCACCATTTTATACCTGAATGAGATCATGAAATTGCTGTTTCACATCGGCACAATGGATGACAATAATTTGTGATTTGGGAATTTCGAATTGTCCAATCAAAATTTTCATACGTTTCTTCCGCTTATCTTTATTTGTTATTTGACAACTTCTTCCAACATATAATTTCACTTTTTTACCCTAAAAAATTATTATTTCATCTATCGGATAATTATATCAATCATACAGTATGCAAATAAGGATGCCATTTATACGGTATTTTGATGGTACGATAACTCATATTTGATTTGCATAACTTGATTATATGGTAGAAATATTAGAAATGAAATTCAAAAATACTACACATATAAGCTTTATGATACTATTGTAACTCGCACATCGCTCGCAGATGATGTCTAGTAAAATTATCTTTAGATTAGCTGAAAAAAAGAAAAGCATTAAAGTCTGGAGTATTTTTCTAGATAATATTTTAAATTATCATTCTCGATATATACCGTAATGTCGAGAATGACAATATATTATCGAAATTGATTTTGAATTATCGTGATTATTTTGCACTAATTTTTGAAAATCCTGTTTTTTCTCACAAACACATTTATTCATAAATTGCTGATTAATTCTAAGTCTGGAAATTCGAATTTAAAATTTAAATTATAATTACATGTGCAACAACAACATGTATATTCTGAAAAGGAATATGAAATGGATAAGAAGATTATGTCATCGTTATTCATCAATATTTAAAAACTTTCAATTTCTTTTCTTCTCCCTACAAGCATTTCTTCTTAGGCGTTGCTGATTAATCTTGAATTTTTGAATACTCGAGTTTGAAATTTAAATTAAAAAATTTTCTTTTTAATAATTACATGGACAACAACGTTTATATCGGAGGGAATATAAATGGGTAAAGATGATTGTGCGATAATTGATGTCTGATGATTAAATGTAATAAATGACATTGGTATCACCTCTCGAAGTATCTAAAATTAGTTAAAGCTTTTCATATTTTTACCTTTGCTTTAAAATATAAAACTTATATAATTAATGGAAAAGAAGGAAAAAAAGTGATTCAGAGTGTCAAAATTAAATAATTAGTTAAGGAAGTGCTGACTAATTATTTGATTTTAGTGCTTTGAAAATTTTCATATATTTGAAAAAAATTTTAGTAATAATAAGCCATTGCTCACACATGGCATTATTGATAAATTTTTAAATAACCTGAAATGCATAATAATCAGTTTTCTTCTCTCTCTTCCCGTAATACCAAATAGATGTGGGACCTTCTGATATAATTTCATAAGAACTCTCAGTAGGAATAACTGGGCATTTTAGCAGCGATAAATTTCGGCTTTTTATCAGAAACATTCTGTAAGTTTTGGCGTGAAATTAAGAAAAAAATTTCTTATCAGTTATTAGTTATACGAATTACCAGTTTATCAATATAAATTCTTATTTTCACATTGCACCTATTACCACTACATTGCTTTTATTGCTATCAATTATTAAATGCATATTACAGTATCATCGATTTTGTTGGTAAAAAAAGTGTAATTATGCTTTGTTAAATGTTCAACACAAATACGTAATCGAATTCAATCTTTATTATAATAATAAACAATTATTATAGTTAGTAGTCGTCTAATTTGAAATCATTTAGCAGCTATCTGAATTTAAAATTGAAAAGTGAAAATATGATTGAAAAGCTTTCTAGTACCAGAAAAAAGCCAATTATTTTAAATGTTCTATTGGTTGCTAACTAACCGATAGGCTTCCTTACAATTATTAAAAATGAAGTAAAACATCGGAATGGAATTTAATATAGCATTTCATATTTCAGTACAAACCTTCAATATATTATTTTAAATTTAATTTGGTACTTTAATATAGCTACTAAGATATTATTGTTATTACTATTTAGGCAGATAATTAGCAAAGATCAAGAAACACTATGAAATTATCAATATCACTTTTACTTATTTAACTGATGCTAAATAATAGCTTGAATTGCTTGATAATACTACACGCAATAAATGTATATTATACAAAACAGATTATACATAGATACATACATAGTTTTGATCCCATCTTTGAAATAAACTACCGTATGGAATATATTTGAAATACTGTATAAACCGTACAATGGCCCTTTAACTAATGTACTGTGTAGAATTCATACAATTATATAAAGTAAACAGCATAATTACGTTTTAATTAGTTCAACTAAGCTATTTGCCACATGAAATATATGCAACCATATGAGCCATACAGTATACATATCTCCAGTTACCGTACTTCCGCACCTTCTTGAAAGGTTACGGTTAAACAAGAAATTATTTTTTATTTTCGTCATATATTTATAAACATTTTGAATGAGTAGATATTTTCAAGAAGTTTGTAAAAAAAAGTGATCTTGGAAAAAATCATTAAAATTAGTAAAACGATAATTGATGCTGAAAAATTGTAAAGAAGGCGAATGCTATGCTCTAATTAAAATTGATATAAAAAGT